GGCACTTTCACTCCCGGGGTCCCGGGCTCGATCCCTGGTCAGGGAACTAAGATCACACACGCCGTGTTGTGCAGCCAAAAAAAAAAATATATATATATATATATATGTATATGTACACACTGAAACTTTTACCTTTACCTGCCTTGGCTTTCCAATAAGAAGAGAGGTTTTGGGCTCCCCTGGTGGCGCAGCGGTTAAGAATCCGTCTGCTAACGCAGGGGCACGGGTTCAAGCCCTGGTCCAGGACGATCCCACGGATGCCACGGAGCAACTAAGCCCGTGTGCCACAACTACTGAGCCTGCGCTCTAGAGCCTGTGAGCCACAACTACTGAGCCTGTGTGCTGCAACTACTGAAGCCCATGCACCTAGAGCCCGTGTTCTGCAACAAGAGAAGCCACCACGATGAGAAGCCCGTACACCGCAACGAAGAGGAGTCCCCGCTCGCAGCAACTAGAGAAAGCCGGTGCGCAGCAACAAAGACCCAACACAGCCAAAAATAATAAATTAAAAAAAAAAAAGAAGTTTTACCTGCAGGGCCTCAAGCAAGTTCGAGGATTTGGTAATAGTTTTGTTAAAGAAAAATCTGCCAAGATGTGAATAGAAATGAGTAGAAATGCAGAACTTGTTAGACTGGGCCAAGAAATGGCAGTCTTATCTCACTCAGCCTTGCCCCTGAGACACTGCTGTAAGGTTGTCAGTTTCCCCAAGGGGACCACAGATAAAAGTATTTCTTCCACAGGACAAAAAAAGAATGCCTAGGATTCATCTTATGTCCTTTGGTTAGTTTCCTACACGTGACATCTCCTTGATCCACACAAAACAAACACTCACATTCCTGAATTACCTCTACCTGGTTTGGGTGTGTCTGTCTGTCTGTCTGTGTCTCTTTCTCTTCCTCTCCCCCACGCCTCCATTCTCTCTCTCCTCCCCTGTCTCTCTCTCAATTCTAACTAGAACTTGATACTTTAAAAATTCTCTAAGAACAAGTGGAGGAGATCTTTAAAGTTTCATTTTAGTAATGCAGCTCAATAGAAAATAGCTCCACGGTGTGTGGGAAAAGAAGACTACATCAGAGTCACAACCGGTCTTTTTCTTCATCCCTGAACGGGACGCACATTTGCCACTGGTTCTATCCAATTAACTGCTCCCTGCCAAACAGTTCACTGCAATGTAGGAAAGGGACACTTCAACTCGCTGCAGCTGGGCAGCTGTATGGAGGTCAGAAAGTAAAGAGAACCTCTTCTCCCCCTGACAAACCCATCTTATTCATCGGATGCTAAGAGGATGAAAGTGAAAGGAATCACATCCCAAATTTATTTACAGAGCTCCCTGTAAAATGACTCTATATAAGGCTGATACTGGAATGAAAATGGAAAGTAAACCTTTTTACCATTTATGTCATTTCACAAGGAGAGATAGGAGTCTTGAGGCTGGGCCTGGACCGAGTTTGTTACCACTGACATTAGATCCAAATGAGTTGACCCACTTTTGCAATCTGCCCAGAACACCTGTAAGGTTCAGATCTATGACTGTGGCAGCATTTCCATCTCATTGCCTGACCAGCATCCCACCTCAGAATTTTTTTTCTGAATTTGGTAAGATTTTGGACTGTTCCCAAACTTCCATTGCCCCAGTGAGGCAGGAAGACTGTCTCCACTGGCACCCTGGAATGGACAGGGGCTTGGGAGAGACTGAAAGTCTTAGACAAGGGACTAAGGACCGTCGGTTCAGCCAGCATCAGAGTTGTTTTCTTCTCCTTCTGAGGGGTCCTCACATGGAAAGCTGGCAAGCCAAGAGGTCAGCTCAGGCTCCCAGGAACTCAGTGAAAATAAGATCCCTAACTCTTCCCGGAGCCCTAGCCTGAAAATCCCACACCAGAGACGCCAGCCCAGCCCCTGTGCAGCCCCTGAACCCCTCTGCTTCTCAACCTCTCACACAGTCTCCCAACCCACCATTTCTCTCTCCCCGGCTAATTTTTTCTCCCTTAATTCTCATGGCTCTTAGTAGGGAGAAGGGAAAATAACAGACAGACAAGAGAATGAGAACATCAGATTTTCTAAGTGTGACTGTTTCTGTCACACCACAGGTTTCCTTTCGCCTTCCACAGGGTTCTTGTTGAAATGTCAGTCTTGACACAGAAGTGTCCTCAGGCAGTGCTGTCTGTCAGGGTTTGAGTTTGGGGTCAAGCGTGCTTATAATCCATTCCCGCATGGTTCTCACGTGGAAATGCTTCATTCATTCACTCACTCACAAATAGGTACAGTGCACCCCATACAAGATACACAGTCAAATGGGGCCTAGTCCCTGCCCTCATGTGTCCCATGGTTTTCTTCCTCACAGTCTCCCAGTTTCTCACCTGGATAAACAATGTGACAGCCTCACAACTTCAGGTCCCTTCCTCAGTCTGCCACTTTCTCTCCAGTCCACCCTTCACACTGTCTTGGGGAGATTCCTAAACACCACTCTGCTTCCCTGGTCAGCTTACCCCTTGTTCAAAATCTTCAGTGCTTTGCTGTCAAACCTCAGGGTCTTGGCATATGCTGTCCTCTCTACTTAGAATGCTTTTCCTCCTCCTTCACCAGGGGCACTCCTACTGATACTTAAAAACTCAGTTGGGATGTCACCACCTCCAGGAAGCTCTCTCTGACTACCAGCCCCACTCTTCTAAGTTAGATGCCCCTCCCTTCTCTTCCCTTAGCACTTTGTGAATACCTCTGTCAGAGCAAAGAGATATTGAATAGTAATTGTCTTATTTACCCACTTTCTCTAACTAGACTGAGAACATGTTGTAAATAGAAGCTATACCATTTATCTCTCTTTACCTGATCTCCCCAGTAGACTGCCTAGCACATAATCAGTGCTCAGAAATTGTTTGATGAGTGAAGAAGCTCAAAGTTGAGGAGGGAAGACTGAGAAGCATACTTGTGTAATGCGGTGTCATAGATAACATAGCGGGGTGCAGCGATGACCGAGCAGAGGGATTACACACTTCTGCCTGAGGAGAAGACAGGGTCTAGGAAGGCCTCCCAAGGGAAAAGAGCTTGGGCAGGCCTTGAAGAAGGTTGGGAGAGCACCAGACCTATAGGGAGGAGAAGGCAAGAGAACAGTGGCATATGGAAGGCCCTCCCTGCCTCAGTCAGCATGATGCATCTGGGGAGATCTCCCTTAGAAGAATGATACTGGTGACAGTGAGAAGACATCGGTGGGAGAGTATTGGAATAATCCAGGTTAAGGCCTGAATTGAGCTAGGAGCTCAGCAGGACCCCCAGGTTTCTGGCTTGGGTAAATAAATGGTGGTGCTGTCACCCAGGATTAGGAATTGAGAGGACAAACTATTTGGGGAGAAAGAAACACCCGGTCTGCTGGTGTTGAGCTGGAGTGGCCTGCCAGACATCAAGGTGAAGATGTTTAGTAATCAGTCGGGTATGTGAGTCTGAAGAGAGTAGCCGGGAATGAAGACTCTATTATAACAACTTCATCGGAACTTTTGTTTTTATCTCTACAATTTGATACTGTGCCTTGAGGTTTCAGTGAGGACTGCTGGGAGAGGGATAATTGGTCCCTCTTCTGCTATTGGCTTGGCTGTGTGGCCTCAGGCTAGCTGCTGGACCTCAGGCTGTGCCCGTTGCCTCCTGGGAAAGGTGACAGTTAGGGAGACCTGAAGAAAAATGGTGCAAACACTGGCCCTACAACTAATTAATTTAGTCCTGTCTTTTGTGATTCTTCTATGGAGTGTGGAGTTCATGCCAGTGAGGCCAACCTCTTCCACTGCCTTAAAGCGGTACTTCCAAAGGCCACTGAGTACACAAAGGGGGAAGCCTTTACCTTCATTACATTGGGATCCTTGCCCCTTAGGGAGTCCTTTTTAGGTGGAGACGTCACTTCCTTGCTACAATAAACTTGTGTTTGTTCTCCCCCGTCCCCCTTTGAGGGAAGGGACTTATTTTAATGCCCTTTTGCCATTGTGATGGCAACTTTTTGTTCCTCTTCTTGCCTGGCCTGAAGCATCAACCTAGATATTGCTCCCCTGTAGGGAGTTTATTTGCAATTCTGTCTGCATTATGGAGTTTAGGCTGAGATCTGCTTTGTCTCAGGAGCCCAACTAAAACAGCATCGTTGCAAAGCAACTTATTGTGCTTTTCCTGGCTAATTTGTCTTAAGTGACTTGCAGTGAAATCAAACATATTTTAATTCAAAGGTTCCTGGCAGTAATGGTACTGTGGGAGTTACATGAGGTGCTCATGGTTGAACCTCTTTTATTCCAAATATCTCTTCACAAAGGCTAAGCGGGAACTGCTAATGGAACCCAGGCACCTCCAGCAATTCAAGAGGGATTGGTAGTTAACCAAACCCTGGCAACCAGGTGTGAGCATGGCAAAGCTTTAGCAAGGGCATCACTCATGTGTGGAGAATGGAGTCATTTTTAATTCAAAGGACTGTGATAGAAAATTCATCATCAAACATGAATATCAACCAACAACTGTTTACGAAGAAAGCAATAGCATAATAGCACCCAGGAAAATTGAAATGATGCATAACAAAAATTCTCAGAGAAGCCCCCAAACAAATCATTCCATCCAACACTTTGAAGTAGATGCCTGCCTAATGTGTTCAACGAAAAAGCCTTAAAATATTTACTTCTTGATTCAAAGCAAAGATGCCAGCTTACTTTGAATTGCAGTATCAAACATATTCCCTGATTTTTTAAGAAAATCCTAAATAGTTCAACTGTGGCCTCTGCCATACTGGCTAAATAGAAGTGACATATCATCACAACCTCCATGGTCTAATATGTGAGTTTCTATAAAGATAAATAAAGTCTGGTGGTCAGATTCAGGATGTGGCCAGGGATTAGCCTCTCCTCAGAAGCAGCAGGCTGCAAGCGGATTGTTCAGTTGCTCTCTGGAAACTGGTCATCTACGGATGCTTCTCTAATCTGTTGGAAATGCAACTTGAATAAAACCGCCTTTGGCTGACTTGATGTCTCTTTAATTAACAGGTAGGAGATCAGATCATTGAAATCAATGGGGAGAGCACCAGAGACATGACACACGCCAGAGCAATAGAGCTCATCAAATCTGGAGGCAGAAGAGTCAGGCTACTGCTGAAGCGCGGGACGGGGCAGGTCCCAGAGTATGGTACGTTTCACGTTTTGATTCACCTTTTTTCTGTTTCTTCTGTGTACTGTAAATGCCTGTGCTTATTTATAAAACTACATCAGTTCCCTAATTCTACGTAAATATATATTTAGTGATCAGTAGCTATAGGTATATACACATGTGTATATTTAAGCACAAGGTATATATTTCTGTGAGCTCTTTCTTTTGCTCCCTTATTTAGGTAATGTTGAAAATAGCAAATGTAGGACCTTCAGGGCATCTCTGAGTGTGCTGGGAGTTCTTGCCACATTCCTATATTAGAACTTTTGTAGTCCTCTGTTCATTTGAGTCCACAGTAATTTATCAATTATTTCCTAAAATGGCTTGTGCATCAGACTGTCCCGTGAGATGTGTAGCCGGGGCCAGGGGACAAACGAGACCAAATCTTCAAGGTGTGAAGATTAAAACATAAACTTCAGTTCATGCCGTGGTTGCACTGCCTTGGTATTTAGGGATATCCCAAAAAATCACTCCTGTGTTGTATATCTGGATGCTTTTGAGGAAGGCTTTAAAATGCATTTTAATTCATAGGTTTGCCATCAGGAGTCTTTAATGGTGTTATTTCCCAACAGCCCATTTAAGGCAAGGCTGACATCATTGCCTTAGCATATCAGAAAGTGCTGCGTGGTCTTTACATGAAAAACAGAGAAATCTGAGCTGGTCTTTAATTAATCACAGGGATTAACAGAGAGACAGACACGGACAGATATCAGTACAGAGGTAGCGCAGATAATACCTGTCCAGATTAGGGAAATAGGATCTAACTGCTGATCAAATGAATAGTTCAGATTGTTTGTTGATCTAGATAAATTTGATTTTCATTTTCGCCTTTCCATTCCCCAAAATCTAAATAGTACTTTTTCCTCTCAAATTGTGCTTTCTGCCTAAGTTACCTAAAAATTGACTGAACACTTCCTTATTAGCAGGACAGATATAATCCTGCATTCAGTTGAAATGTCTGAATTCAACGGCCCTTACACACTTTGTCTCCAGAGTCTTGAACACACCCAAAGCCTACAGGAAGGGCTGGTTAAGCCCTCACATTAAGAGTAGGACACCATTCAGAACTTTCTGTGGGGTTGGCTGTATGCCCAAGGAAATATTTCATAGCTTCCCATCCTTAATCCTTGGACCTAATTCAGTAATTTTAATTATTAATATTAGCCATAAGCACAGGCCTGAGCCTGTGTAATGGCCCTGACATTCATCCCTTTGTAAAGAATCTGAACTCTTGAAATAGAATAACTTTTTGCACCCTAGAGCACATAAAGGGATTCAGTAATATGAAACCGACCTGTGAGATTCTCTCACTTCTGAAAAAGATCTCGTTTTAAAGGTGTGTTTCACTCCATGACAAGACCTGTTATCTATATCCAGGGGTTCTCATAGAGTTAATGCTGTTCTTATTGTTCTAACAAATTAATCTTAAAAATTAACCTGAACAACATGGCTCTCCTGAACTTTCCATTCTTTTTGTAGCATCACTATGTGGTCCCGACTCTGAGCACCCCCCACACCAGCTGCCGCTCTGTAGAGAGCAGTTGGAATAGTCTGCCAGCCAGCATGGCATAACTCAGACTGTGATGCCTGAGCATGAAGCTGCCTCAAAGCAAAAAAAGGAAAACATGTTTTTGAACAGCACAAAAATTCAAGATCATGTCGACATTATCCCATTAATTCTTAATGTCGTCTGAAAATATCTAGTTAAGGTTAAATTCCAAAATTAACCGGCACAGAGAGTCTGATAAGTATCTGCGCACACTTTTGAGGGACCCATTGTCAATACTCTTAACTCCAGCAGTACCGCAGAACTTCTGAATGTATTCTTCTAAAATGTAACATTAAATCATATACACTGGTAGTGGTAGAGCTTGTCTGCTCCTTTTGATGTTAGATTTGACATGGATTTTGACTGTAAAATAATTTTAGAGGTTATGTCACAAAAGAACAAATCTAAAAGAGTAAAGCCATCTCCTTTAGGGAAGTAAAAGGATAGTCATAAACTAAGTAAACATTAGTTCTTCAGGAAAATCTAAGTCAAGATTATGCATAAGAAACCAAGAAGGTTAGGGGTCCCATCAACATTTTTGAGGACAGTGCCTCAAATGATATTTCTGGAACCTCACCACGACTAATGAGGAGGCTGTTTCAGGGTCCCCGAAACCACCCCACATTCAGAGATTTGCTTATGAGACTCCTGGGGCACAGAATACAGTTGTGCTCACAGCTCAGCTTAGGACAGTGATGTAAGGACACCCCGTGGGGTCATAAGGAGGAATCCACGTGCAGGCTTCCTTATGCTTTCTCTGTCTCCCGTGAGAGGTCCCCCAGAGAGCATTCTTCTGAAGCAACAAGCATGAAGCAGCATGTGCATGGTGATGTGGCTGCCCTGCAAGGTCCATGGGCGGTTGGGCAGCCAGGGTTTCTCCTGGGGGCTGGGCACGCAGGCACCCTCTGCCTGGCACGTACCAAAGTTCCAGACTCCCCAGAAGGAAAGCATAAACCACATTGTTTGTACAAACAGTTGAGGTACAGTGAGACACCCTTTTCGCTTAGGAGAGCTATATGTTAGTGTAGGGAACGAATCACCAGCCACGTTCCCAGATGCCAGCCGAAGGCCAGCCTTGCGAGAAGGCCTTTCTAAGGAGAGCGGTCCCAAGCCTGCTCTGGGAACTTGTCCGGCACCAGGAACGAGCCACCACGTGGCCACACGTTCACGGACTATGCAGATGCCCCCAGTGTGTGAGGAGCGCCCAAAGCTGAGGAACATCGCAATTCCTCCAGCATCAGTTAAATAGACTCTCTCGTGAAACACAATTTGCTTATTTTTGTTGTTGTCCAAGATAGGCTAGAGTGTATTTTAATAAAATGGGCAAGGGGTGCAGGTCACAAAACAACAGAAACAAGCACGATGAACGAAAATCTTTGAGCTTACTAGTAGATGTGACCAAGGCCATAATCCACTTCGTCCATATGCACCCTAACGACAGGAAACCTGATTTTTCTGTCAACTATGAGTATAATCTTGTGTTTTTTTCCTTTGTTTGCCCTTTAAGATCCCAATCTTGGCATAAAATCTAGCCTTAAAAGCTTGTCAAAGGGAGTTATCAGAATCCATAGGAGATGTTACCTGTTAGGGAAGTGTGGAGGCTTAACCCAGCCTGGGCAAGAGTGAACTCTGAAGGTGAAGAGACTGGCAAACAGCCTCTGGAGGGGTTTAGGTGATAACCCCCAGCCCTCCCTCTGATACCTTCAGAATTCAGAGCAGCTTTGAAGCAAGACCCTTATCTGGACTTGTGGACACGTCAGGGAAAAGCTGATCTCCGTCAAGAGAAATAGGAAAACTCTCTTGCTCAGAGCCATTAAGGTGATCTGTGACAGAGATAGATAAGCGCAGGTGCAACGGAAAGAAAAATACACCCCAGGTGATCTGTCAGATTGTCGACTACACAATCGACAGTGTGAAGCCAAGTGAGCTGAGGAAGGGAATAAATATGCTGCAAATTTGCCATCCATAATTACCATGAGACTAATCGGCAGACACACCTCAGCCAATTCAGAGGCGAAAATCAGCAAATGCAGCCACGAGCGAGCGTAGCGGCTGCTCCCAGGGGTGGCTGAGCAGCTGTGGGGAGGGTGGGGAAATGATAAGGGCTTCGGCGGAGAAGCTGCTTTCGTAGTTAAGTCCTTGAAAGAGCAGCTCAGGAGATAGACACTTCAACTCCAGTCTAGTCCTCAGGATAAGAATGTGTTGATTATAAACTCAGTGAGAGCTTGGGTTCCCCCTCCCCTGACACATACATCTCAACAACTAGCAGGAAGAAGGAAACTTGACTCCATCATACTGAGGAAAGGATCAAAAGATGATACAGCAGAAGCAGCGGCCTCCTGAATACTGGTTCTTGCTGTTACAAGTCAATCTAAAAAGGTTAAGAGAAAAGAAAGCATGCATGCTGGTTCTAAAGCTGCATGGGAGTACATTATGCAGATTAGCTCCCTGTCTTGACCTACAGGTGTCCTTCATTAGCATTCAGGGACTACACGGAACATTTGCTTGATGTACACCCTGAGCCACAGAGCCAGGGCCAGGGTAAATAGAGGTGCCACTGGATGAAAAAATGTCCTCCACAAGCAGTTCAGACCAGCGCAGAGCCTTGCCCTGGTAATATTTGCTGTTCAAATCTCATCAGAACAAGACAGAATTATGCTTTCCCGTCTTGGTTGGTGATCTGACCTGTTGATTCTCTTAAGCAACATTACAGGTCTTTATGACAAGAATGCTGAAGTGAGTTTGATTGTAAATGATCTCAGTGGTTTTAGGAGGCCAGGCAGGGTTCCCAGGAGGAAGCAAAATTCTCAGAATACCAGTGGCCCAGGGACAACTAACACCAAATGACCACATCTCCCTTTGGGGAAAGAAACAGCCGATCCATGAGTTAGACCTCTGCCTGCACTTCCATTTTCAAAGTTAATTGTATCTTTGATAGGTGTTGAGTGTGACAGGCCTTTGGTAAATGAAACTGTTTACATTTTATAAGGGTAATATAACTACATTAAGTAAGAAAAGATCTATTTGAGCCATACTATATATATTCAGACTATAGCTGAAGAACTGAATGGGCTAAATAGTTAAAAGTCTTCCTTTAACCAGTAAGTAAAAATGATTTACAATAATATTAGAGCACCAGATTAAGCAGTACCAGTCTGTACGTATATGGCGATAAGCAGTGTTTGTTTATTCTTCTTTAATAATAGGCATTAGCATGTGAATGTTATAAGCCTACCCCTATAATCTTGTTTACAATTACTTGTTCAAATCCTTTCTTCCCTCTGATCATACAAAGGTCAACTCTAGACATTATACTCCTACCACATATTCCATGTAAGGCAGAACCTGTAATTAATATCATTACTTAATGTCATTACTATTTCCTCAACAAAAGCAGGATTTTTCTGAGCACCTACTATGTGCAAGGCAC